AAGACATTATTCCCTGATTTTTATCGAGAGTTTTCTTAGGTGACTTCGGTCATTTAAGATGTAATTAACTATAGGGGTTTGCCCTTATAGGGAGCTTTTCCGAACCCAGCTTAAAATAAACCCTATTTAATTCTTTGTATTAAATAGGGGAACTTGTCGAAATAAAATGGTTTCGCAGACCCAAACGGATGTCATATCTTTCTTAGTTTATTTGATTGAGCCTCACCCTCAAGTCTTGTGTTTATCCCTCGGGATAGATACAGGATTTGAGGTAGAGCGCTCTTTCATTTAAACTGTGAAAAATATGAGGTCAGTTTGATTCCATATTTTTCTAAAATTATATATATATATGTAAATTAAAAAAAAAGTCCTTCCGAAGCGGGCGACGGGATTTCGATTCCGGCGGCCGACAGCTTCTTACGGGCGACCCCCAAACGCAACTTCCCCCTTTTAAACGCCGACAGTGACTCATATATTTATCGGATCATATATACAGGCCAAGGAGCTTGATAGAAAGTCCTCCATCGCGGAATTGCACGTCCTTACAAATCGGTGTGCGGTCACATGACAGTAGATATCCGACAACTCTCGCCGTATCAATGTAAGTTTAAAAAAAATTTAATTTGACTAATATGTCAATTAACGTTTAGCAAAATAATATTTGAATTTTGTTATGCAGGAGGAGTACGAGCAGCTCCGGAAAAGACAAAGAGAGATGGTCAGCCAGACCTCACCGTCTGTCAACAGTGTTAGCCAGTTTACCACTGCGCGGTTTAATTTTGAGTTGCAGACGCAAGCGGTGGGGAAGAAGGGGAGAGTGTACGGCCTCTGAACAAAGAGGATGGCGTTTAAGGTCGAGCATTCCCGAGCAGCTATTGATGACCCTAACTCATTACATGCTCAACATGAGGAGCTCGTCAGGTGTGTAACGATGATGAATGAAAAGCTCCGACAGGTGCGTGAAGACTATCAGCTCGTTGTAGATAGACTAGCATGTCTAACGAAGTGTTTTGATCTCTATAGCAAACGGCACATGCGTTCGGTCGAGAAGTAGGATGATGATGAGGATGAAGCCTAGGTTTTTTCTGTGTTTGATGATGGTTCCCCGACATAGGGGAGCTGATGAGTTGTGATGATAGATAAATATCATATTATGTTGATTGTGTTTAATATATATAAGTATGTGAAAATTTAATCGTTTTCTTGTATTTTTTTATGTTTCTTACAAGTTAGCGTCAGAAAATTTCGATGCTAAAAGCTCCGATCAGCCAACAATACAAGTCGTCGCTAAAATGACACGATAGTGACACGTTTGATATGGTCGACGCTAATTAGCATCGGTCATGTTCAACGCTAATCAGCGTCATACTTTTTTAATGTTATTGCATCGTTACGTCAGCTTTGTTTGCATGTTTAACAGTTTTTTTTAGCGACGGCTATTTTCGATGTTAATGCCGATGCAAATTAAAATCCGACGCTAATGTCAACGCAAAATAAATTAGCGCACCTATTTTAACGTCAGAAAAAAACCGATACTATTCTGACGCTAATGGGGCTTTTTCCCGCAGTGCACTACCTAGTTGTTGTTTCCCAACTGTTTTCACTTTATTCTTATTTGAAGTCGCCCAGGATAGCAAACCGCCACCGTCGTGTCGCTACTTCCTTACAATCCACACCCTCTTTCCTACCTTGCCACCACCTCTCTAAGGCCCTTAACAACTAGCAACACCACCCAAGATCTACCCTAGCCATGTGTCGTGCTGTTATTTCCTATTTTCGTGTGTTGGTTGCAGTCGTCTATTAGCTTTTTCAATAAAAATGTGTTGATATTGTTGTTTAGGTTAACTCAGATATTATTTAGTAGTCATATACTAGAGTTGCCAAAGTCATCTCCAAAATTTTTCTTTCCCGCCAAATGTCAACCCTATACACCCTCCTCCACCTATACCCAAAACAAAACCCTAATCACGCCATCGAGGAGTAATGGTTGGAGACCTGATCAAGGGGTGATGTGGCTTATGAGAAATCCACAAAGAGATGTTCAAAAACTTTTTAGGGAAATCCTCCAATTGCAACAGAGGCTTGCCGCCTTTGAGAGGAGACAATTTGGAAGGGTCAATTGTAGCCACAATGGTGATTAATCATATCAGATACCCCAATAAGATTAACAGTAGTTGTTCATGAAGGGAGTGAGTTCAAGGTAATAGACATTCATACAAAGTATGAGGTTGTGGAGCCTCAAATTACCTTTTTGCAGGCGTTGAGGGATCATCAACAGGACTGACATTGGAGGTCCAAAATGGTCATGAATTTGAGTCGATACCAGACACAGGGCAACCTTATATAAAAGTATTTCAAAATTTTCAAATATATATAGCATACCTTCTGAATTGCCCCTACTGAGGGAGGTCCAACATGTCAGAGATGAGAAGCTCATGAGCTACTTCTGGAAGATTATAGAGTTATTTGAATATTAAATTTAGTTCAACAGTGTACCTACTGACAGAGTGACAGATGGCCAATCAAGAGGGATGAACCGTGGAGTTGGAATTCACCTTAAGAGCATTGATGGAAAAGACATCCTACAATGAGATCCAGGTCCTCTTAGAGAAGAAGAAAAGGCCTCTCTCGAGTGGTTGTTATTGAGAATTGTCTAGCTTGTCAGAGATTTTAGTCCCGAGTTTGTTCCTAAAGATGAATTTATTTGATGGATATGCCTTGTCAAGTACAAATTGAAGAGTCAAATTACAGGTTTAATGGCTCGGAAGTTACTTTATGAAAATTCAAATCGATACACAGCTCCTCCTCATGTTGTGTCAAAAGTGGATGGATACTTATTATATCAGGATATACCTTGGAATAACAATGCTATCTTCAATTGGGTCAACATCATTGCTTGCTATGAAGAGACAGAAGCTTCGACGAATGAGATTGAAGCTCCCCAACCCCGGGAGGCTGAGGCGAGCATCCCTCCCGCACTGCAGGGCATCCAAAGGCAGAGGCGGGACCGCTTGGCACACGGAATTTTATTGTGACTTGCAACGACATCCGTTTTCATGCATGGACCGAACAAGTCCAAGTTTTTTAATGCACTGTCCTCTTGGGTCATTCCTAGTTACCATATTATTATATAATTGTTTGTTGATGTTTTAAGTTTAGTTTTTTTGTGAGTTTGTTGAGGATAGTCTTTGAAGTCTCTATTTGCCCTTTCAAGGATTGTATCCAAGAGTCAAGTGGTGCTCCAACTGTATCGCGCTCCCAATGCACTGATTTATCCTTGCCCCAACCACTCCACATCTTTTCCCTGCCGCCGTCCTTTGTCCTTGTTGCAGCCATCAGACAATCTCCTATAGTTGTTTTTCTGAAGTTCCCCTTTGTTGCCTCCTTCCAGAACTTGCCTCCCTCTCCGCCGCAACCATTCCAACCACCCATCTCCGCTACCAACCTGCAGTCCAGCCCTCATCCTTGTCATTTTAGGCAACCCACAACTTTTCCCGCAATCCTTACCCCCCTCCTACACTACCTACATTCTACCCTTTGTTGTCTTACTGTTTCCCAACTGTTTCCACCTTATTCCTTTTTGCTGCCACCCAGAATAGTAAACCGCCACCATCTTGTCGTTGTTCCTTGCGGTACACCTCCTTCCCTACCTTGCCGCCACCTCTCCAAGCTCCCTAACGGCCACCACCACCACCTAAGATCCACCCTCCACTACCTATCTATTGGTCCCTCCATTGTCTTGTTGTTTCCCAACTGTTTCCACCTCATTTCAATTTGTTGCCACCCAGGACGGTAAACCACCACAGTCGTGTCGTTGTACCTTGCAGTCCACCCCCTTCCCTACCTTGTTGCCACCTCTCCAAGCCCCCTAATGGCCACCACCACCACCTGAGATCCACCCTACTCATGTATCATTTGTCATGTTATTGTGATTTCCTATTTTTGTGTGTTGGTTGTAACCGCCTATTGACTTCTTTAGCAATAATATTTTTTTTCCTATTGTGTTTGATTTAGCTCCGGTATCAAAACCATAACTTAGAATTTTCCAAATGTCATGTCTCAAACTACTACTAATTATATGTTGGAAAGATGGAAAACAAATTCCTAATCAAATAACTTCATTATTACAAATAAGACAATCAGGTGGCTAGTATTACTCACGTTTCAAGGAAATAATAGCCTGAAGCCGCACATCTTCATGAAAATAAGTTGAATGCCTTCCTAAAATCTTCATTGAATCCTCCACATAGCTTGTTATTATTAAAGAAACAGTATAAACACATGTAGTAGTAAAATGTAAAATTATTAAACAAACAGTATAAACACGTGGTAGCATAAATATATCAAGCCAAAATTAATGGATACGGTGCATAAGATGTCTTTGTATAGAGAGCAAACATCCCAATTGCCTGGGTTGCCGCAGCTTTCTCGTCTAGTACCCCAGTTCTCACACTAATATTACGAACTCTTGGCTCATCATAAGTATCATCATCAGAAGATACACCCCCAAATCCATTATCAATGCTGTCAGAATCATCAATGTCCACAGCAGAGCCATCATCAAGATTGCATGAAGAAAATGCCAGAGGAACAACATGGAGAAGATACTGAAATAAAATTTTCATGTAAGTAAAATTCATAACTACCGGAAGGATAAACATAAACATCTTCTCAGCTGAAACTAATAGTAAAATACCTGTGAGAAACCATCACCTAATATTTCCGCAATATTGCTAAAGAAACCATGAGTGTATTCTCGAAGTTCACTGTAATCTAATGCAAATCCCTGCACGAAATAGTGGATTGGGATAATCAAGATTGGAGTGCACATCTACCTTTATAAAGCCAAGATAGAAAAATTGAATTATAACGTTGAACGCAAAACTCACAGAAAGTGCTGCCTCAATATATGGGGGTAATATTGGTTCCATCCTCTCCCGTCCAACAGATAAAGCAACAATTCCAACTAGTTCAGTTGCACGAGCTCTTGAACGCAAATCCTCATCATTTGTCAGAACCAAAAAACTTTTCATCAGCTCGAGAACCTTCTCTGCATATGGTATAAAAGCTTTCTCTGCGGCAACAGCTACCGAGCCAATTGCAGACTGCAGTTGATATAATTTTTTTTAGAAAGGTTTCAAATCTCAGCTGTTCAGGAATGTGTTCTGAGTGGTTTTTCAGGCACTTTTGTTTAGCTCAAGTTACAAGGATAAAAAGGCGCCCAAGTTATTTTTTTTCCCACTTATCTCTCTGTTTTGCCTGTGTAGTTGTGATAGTGTGTGCTTGAGTGTGAGGAAGCAGTTTGGGATGGATTTAATGTGATATATTAGAAGCAGCACACAGGTTACGATGGACAATAAGAGGAAAAAATAATTACCATGCATGTTTCTTGCAGATTTCGCTGATTACACTGCACAGAAGCAACTAACTTCTCCATAAGGGAATCAAGATAAGGAAGTATTTCTTCACCCATGTCTTCACAAAATGCAGCCAGCGCATAGTATGATTTTTCCTGAAAATATTAAACCAATTAAAATCAAATAAATTAGCAAAATATAAAATAAAATAGAGCCATCATGTGTTTAACCTTTACTTCTTCTGAAGCATCTTCAATTGCATTTAGGATACAAGGAAGCACAGTCGAATAGTGAGATAAAATCTCGGGCTGCAAATGCTCCGCAAATTGACCCAAAGCGAATGATGCAGCACCTCTGACCATTTGTTCATTATCTTTTAATGCTGCTAAAACTATATGCAAAGCATTCTCCAACCTTTCTTTCAGAAAATCAAAACACCCTTCAGAGATAACTCCCAAAGCTGTTACGGAAGCCTCCCTAAATTTTGGATTTGCATGACCATAGCTCAAGGAAGCAAACTCAAACACGACTGGAAAAACGTGCTTTGGCAGATTAATTGACATTGTATCAATAACTTCAGCAGCAGCTCTATCAGATGCCAGATCAGAATCTTCATCGCCATAAACAGTTTCCGTGAGCAAAGGGCACATCACTTGAAGGATTGGTACAACAAGCTTATGCTTTCTCAGAAAAGAAGCCTTGTACTTTGCAAGCCATGAAATTATTTGAATTGCCTGAAATTATCAAGAAGATGAAACTGAAAACCAAATACATCCAAATAAAGGTTGAAAAGCCAAGAAATAAATGTATGATGAAGCAGACACACATATCACAGGTAATACAAACCTGATGTCTTATGTTTAGTTCCAAGTGTTTGCTGGAACAAACTTCGAGTGAAAATTGCACAATAGAACGAACAGAATCACCAAGAAGTGGTGCAGGAGACTCGATAAGTTCATCAAATATTTCAAAAGCAACAGAAGCAATATCCTCGTCCCCATTGGCAAGGCACTGCCGTGAAACATTTAATATACTAGGAACGAATTCTCGAAAGAGTTTCACCTGCAATTGCATAATATGAATCATATCCATCTTCACATTGCTAATCAATGGACAAAAATAGTTTTGAGATTCAAAAATACCCTAGTACCATAAATTAAATCCATGGCTCCATATGTTGCATGAAAATTTACAAATGTAAATCTAACATGTGTCAAAAATTGCAGTGGGAAACTTAATGAACTGTTTATACATGAAGTTGTTGACTAGATTTTCGAAATTATTTTTTACTTTAATGTACAAAAATTATGCATGGAATGTTTATTTGCCTTACATGTGTCATAAATCAAATGCAAATTTGGCCGTTAGCCATACATGAATTCCAGAAGGTATAATAAAAAAGGGCATGTAGACAAGGGTCAAGATAGAAAGAACATAATACCAAAAAAAACAAAGGTCTTCCCATCCTTTGAAAGACTAGTGGGTGTCTGGATTTTTCCAATATTAGCATTGTCCAAACAAACAGACTATTTGAATGATTCAAATAAAATTACTCCAAATCATACTAAGGTAAACATGATAAACAAAATATTTCAGATGTTAGGTTAGTGGATATTTGGAAGTCACAACAAGTACCCATAAGTCTAGCTTATTTTAGGGGAAGAGGTGGAGGACGTCTTAAGTTTGAGTCTTGTAATACAGATCCAACATGTGATCAGAAAACAAGACATCAAACACACAAAAATTATTGACCATCTTCAATGAAACCCAGGAAAAAAATAATATAAATCACTTCAGCCAAAAAAAAAAAGAAAAGAACTATGGACGACATTAAGTTATTAATCTAAAACAGTTATTGACCGTCTTCAATGACAACCAGGATTGAAAAATAATATAAATCAATTCAGCCAAAAAAAAAAAAACTATGGACTCCAAGTCACAAACAACTGACATTTCAAGCAAATAAAGGAAATAAAAATTATAGTGAATTAAATTAAACACTATTTCATTTTCAACCACAAATAAAAAATAAGAAATTAATCCTCATGCATGTCCATAGGACTGTGCATTATCTGGTCTATTTTTATAAATAAACCATTGATGCCGATTCTCAAAAAAATAATACCAAATAATCATATTATTAAAAAAAAATCCTTCAACTTCAATTAATTTCAACAAAATTCGGTTGGTTTTTAACATTTTGTCTTATTTAACACCCAAAAATAAAAATCCTATGTCTATATTAGAGGAAAAAAGGCATGGCACAATCTAGACATGTGCATATGCCAAAAAAAAAAAAAAACATTTATATAAGCTACAAATAATTAAAATGCAAACTAACCAAAACTTATAAAAATAAATTGCTCTTATAAAGACTTAACTCTTGTCAACAATTGAGAGCCCCGGAGATGAAACAGAAGGGTGAGGTGAGAGGTGAAAAGATATGAAATTGAGATTTGATGTAGAAAAAACCTCGAAGCGCCGCCTATAAATATTTCCTCTTTATATTATCTTTGATACTGATCATTAACAGTGAGAAAAATATCAAAAATAGCTTCAATAATAAGCCTTTTTTTTCCCTTTTTTTATCATTAATATATATATATATATATAGATATATATCAGAATGATTGGATGTGAAGCCACTTCAATGATTGATGATTTCAAATATAAAATCCAATTGGTTGCATTAAAAATATTTCATATCATCCAATAAAAACCTTTAAATTTTATATTTCATCATCAACCAATAATACTGCCCCAAAAATATTTGAACAATCCCTATATAAAAGAAATGACTAAAAAGCTTGCTTTGTTAATTTCTCTAATAGATATTTATAAAAAAATTATTTAGAAAATATTTGAAAGATGCTAATTACAAAAATTGAAACATTATAACTATTCAAAACTTTTTATCTTAGCTAGTGGGAGGGAATATTTGATGGCACTACTCTTTTCAAGCTTAGCCCAATTTGCGGTACTTATCTTTTCATATTAAGCAAAAAAATCTATAGCAAGGGTTTTCCTTTATTTATCACATGAATCTGTAGCTCCTTTTATTTATTATTTAATAATCATAATACTTTAATCACTCTCTCAAAGTGGATGATAGAAATCTATCATTCCGGGTTTGCTTAAGATATTTTAAAATGAAAATTTCCGAAGTCCTTTGATTATATGAAACTTAGTTAACTTATTGAAATATATAGTTTAAACTAACCCACTTTCTAATTTATCTTTTATGTAATACATATCCAACTCCGCATACACTGAATCGTGAAAAATGTATATGATAAATTTATTATCACAATAAGTCTCATATAGATCATTTCCATTTTATTTTTTAATTTTTCAATATACTTCTTATCCATAGGAATTCACAAATATCTTGACCAATTGTTTTAATTCAAATGCATCGCTCGACCTTGAGACATATTTGCTTGCTTCTCTGCATTGCCAAATTCTCCTAAAGTGCAATATCCTGGAATCTAGAGAATCTTGATGTTGTAGGTACTAATTTGATTGGTTTTCCCTTGGAGCAGAGGTAGAAAAGTTATATGGGTAGTGTAAAAGGAAAAATATTATTCAGGATTTGGATATATTAGAAGAAATCACTGAGCTTTAAAAGGGTAAAGTTTTTCTAGGAGAAAATTGATGAGGAATTCTAGATCAAAAGTTAATAATATTAGGAAACTAATGGTAGCATTTTAATGAATATTGGATCAGTGGTTAAGTTGTAAATTTTTTATTTGGTTGCTCAAACCAAGTCTTTCTATATTAAGTTTTTAGCTAGGACATATTACAAATCATTTCATAAACCTGATCTGATCTTTACATTCCTGCGACTATATCTTGTCAAACCGCTCATCATTCCACAAAAAACTTCATAACCAATTCTTAGATGTAAAGACTAAAGAATAATAGTCTTTCCCAGCGCTTAATCTCATCAAAAGGCCACCCACTACCATCACCTCCTTGCTTAGAAACCCTGCTGAGCTCCAAACTATAACATTGTTCTCAGTGCAAACCATCCTAAATATTTTTTCTGGTGTTATGTCATTGAAAAGTGTTTTTTTCTCATAATGTTCAATAGTTGCAAGTTATCCTTGTTAATTTGGTGAAAAACTCGCTAAAACTCACATTTAGAATACATTCAGCTTAATGATTTGTGCATTCATATTGCTAAATACTAAATACTTAAAACCAGATTTTTTCAGTGTCGTGAAATTTTCCATTTTCCCACCATTGTATTCTCTAATAAGAAAAAACAAACACCACACAATAATTAATCTAAGAAGAGCTATCCAATTCAATATGAAAGACCCTAAATTCTAAAATTTCTAATATATGATTTTATCACTTTTCTTGAAACAATTATTTATGATCATGTTTATTTTCATGTCCGCCCACAAAAAAAAAAAAACAATAACTTCAGTTTAAGTTTCTTATGAGTGCAACTCTAAAACAGGAAAAATAAATGCCATGGAATTTTGTTCAAAATCAATAAAAATTTTTAGGTACACATTATTATCAAAAACCTGAAAAGCTAAAATCAATCAAAAAGCTTTTAAAAAATCAGCGTGATCACATGGTTAGCCTTCAAAAATTAAATGAAGTTATCAGTCTATGTTCCAGTAAAATCGAAAAAGCTGTCGAAATCTACAAGCTGGATATACTATATAAGCATTGACCTAGTCATACTGGATATAGAATCTGACCTATCGGTAGAGCCCAGCCGGTGCACAGCAAACACAAACTTTGTAAGTCAGCATATAGTTAAGGTTCACAAATATAAAGAACAAATAAAGAAAATTGTATTGACCTTTGCATCTTAAACCCACATATAAATATAATGGCTAGTTTTGCCTCATTGGCAATGATTGTAAGCCTCCCTACTTAAAATACTACTAGCTTATCTTACAAAAAGACCTTAAGAGGATTAGTTAGCATTCCCAATCCAGACAAAAAAATCAAGCATCTTGACCTCCTATTGTTAAAGTTGTAAGCACCTATAGTAGGCATCTTCCCAATATGTGGAAAAAATAATCCTACGAAACCTATAAATTGCATTAATTTATGAAGAGAAATACCTCTCAAACACTGTAAGAACCTATGTGAATAGCCTTCTCTCTCATGATGTTGTAAAGTTGTAATTCTCTTACATAAAATAATTGGGCTTTATGACCTTGTGATTCTATAAGTCCTGACATTAGGCATTTATTTCAGTATACCCTCTTATGGTTGTAGAATTGTAAGGCAGCATTCTAAAATCAATTATATGAAACACCACATTCAAACCACAAAATGTTCATCACATATGGCATTTCTTGGTGATTAGTTCAATCAGCCTCTGAACTTTCTTTGTGCTAGGGAATCGCAATTCTCTTAGAATTTCAAGTTCTCAGCCAACATTAGCGTGAATTGCATGATTGAATTTGAAAATTGCAGTAATTTGCATTTTCTTTGAACTACTTTGTATTCCTTGGAAGCAAAGCATTGAATTTGAGGAACGCTGATCATTGAACAAAATCAAATGTATTCACAGGACCTTTTCAATATTTAATTGATCATAATAGGTTGCTCGTGTGAGAAACCTCAATCCCTAGAAACAAAATAAACTCTACTCGGTCTTCTTGTACACCTTGGGAAAAAAAATATGAAATAAATAACATGTCTTCCATTGATTATCATGGGTCTGTAGAATATGTTGACCAATAATGACTAGCTTTTTATTGCAATCTAATTGAGTTTTTTAAAAAACTACAAGCTCAAAAAAGTGCTGATCCCAATATATTTGATAATATGCTTATATGGCATGCTCAACTAAGTGTCCGTCATTTTATCCTTATCCAACAAATTTTCAAAAACGGATTACAGTAGACTGTTCATTTTCAAAGACTCTCATCAGCAAAATACAAAACAATCTGATGTTTTACATCTCTCCAATACACCATGATCAATCAAATCCACCAGAGATAAAACCTAAGGCTGACTTTTGATATTTGGGCTAAACAAAATCATTAGCACTAAATAGTCTTGCGTGAACGCTGTCAAAAATCAAGTAGATCGCAAAAATACTTCAAAAACGAATCAAATTTCCAGGTAAAACAGTGCATAAAGAGTTAAAATAAAACTAACATGGACCAGAAGAATAAAAAACTTACAAAGCTAACCTACCACATCAGCACCTTCATTGATGAATTCTATCAATGAACCAACAGCCCTGAGAAGTGCAGGCAACAGTAAGATAGACAATTTAGTAATTTCGAAGTAAATGAAATGGGAATGAGTGTCTATATGAGTTTAGAAGAAAGGATAACGAAAAGAATAAAATGGAGGAAAGATACGAACGCACTTTAGAGCAGCAATTCTTACACGACCACTTCGTTCATCTTGCAAGCATTTCAGTAGTATAGGCTGCAAGTCTACCAGATGAGCATGAAATGTAGAGCCAATAGTTTCTGTGAGTGAGCTAAATAGAATTAACGCCACCTAAGCAAAAGTAAAGAAAAGTCATCATAAGACGGGAGGTCAATTTCATAAACGCTTTCAAATATGATAATAAGTACCATGGAAGAAAGAATCATACAGAAGTAAACAAAAACAGATTCCTTCATTCTTAAAAGAAAAGGATTCCTTCATTCTTCAAAAAAAAATGAGAGAGAGATTCTTTCATTCTTGTTAGGAGATAAATGATGACTAGTTCGCCAAAGTAGCTCAAGTGAATTACCAAAAAATTATAACCTTAAAAGTTAAGAGTTGGATTACTTCAAGGAAGCACCAAGGTTTGTTTGTTATCAAGAATTTGGTGAGTAAAATCATTCCTTTAGGTTCAAATTTTGAAGTAATTTGAAATTCCCAGCTTCAAAGCAAATACAAACTAGAAGTTGGTCTGAAAAGTCCAATACAAAACTGACAAAACTCTCCTTTCAAATAATTATTCACTTAGATCATAGGATTTGGATATTATAGCATATCATGAAACTTTTTATCCTATCCATGTAAACGGTGGCAAAACTCCATGAAGAAATAGTTGAACTTCTAAGGAATAAAATAGCAATAACAACTTCACTATTCAATTAGCTCTGTTGTCATGATGGATATCTGGGATTACTCGAACATATGTAAACCAAAACAAAAACCCTATAATCCTCCACTTTTGTTTTCAAAATCATCACCTAACCTTTAAAAAGAAAAATCATCATCTAACCTCTTCTTTCACAAACCATAATCAATTGTCATCTACCTAATAGCAACTATTAACTGATGCTGCCTAGTCATAGGACATCAAAGGCTAAAAGATTATCAAAATGAGTAGCTTTGCAAAGGCCACAACAACCCACCGTTTCCACTATTGTAGTTGCCGCTTCTTCCCTTGGCTATTCTATGTCCCACAGGCTTTACTACAACTGTTCCATAGCCTTGGCCACCCAAATTCAACCTCACCACCAGTGGGTGGTTCTTCAACAACCAACCAATTCCTTGAGAAGCACAGCATGAGCCAGCACTACCAGCATCTCTCCCTCATTCTCTATCTTCATGCACAAAACCAATCCTAACCTCAATTACAGTTCTATCCCTTTGTTAGACAAATGGAACCTGCCACAATGCAACAACCAATTCAATGATGAAGAGCAACTTATGACGAAACCCAAAGGCCCAACAAAAAAGAGCCACTACCTCCACACCTCCCTGGCCTTCCCTTGCCACGCATGCAGCCCCAATCAATTCATGAACAAGCGATCCAACTGCTTCACTAGTCTAAGATGCTGGTCAAGTTGTGTTAGCTGTGATTCTTTTTCTTTTCTTTTTTTAATACAGAGGTGCCCTTCAAAATTTCAGCAACTTGCTAAACTCAGTCATAGCATTTACATCATGTTGCAAAAAGCTATTAGCATAGCTTAATCAGACCTCTTTTAGAAAAGCAATGTCTGTCCCTCATCCTCGAAACTGTATGTTTGAAATAGCTTCCAGCAAGGTGGTAAAACCTGAGTTTGTTTATAATAAAATGATAAATATTCCAAGCAGTCAAATTTCAGAATTTTTGTCACCATTGTCTCTCCTTTACTTTTCTTCACAAGTATTAATAAAAACAATAAGTAGCACTTTTCTAAAAGTTTAGTCCTACAACCAACATTCAGCAGTAAGCCAAAAAAATTTAGTTGAAAAAAATGCATATCAAAAACGTAGAATTAAGAGTTAACACAATTTTGCACAAAGAAAATCAATCATGAAATAAAAAATATAACAATCATATTTATACAACTAATACATTTTCAGCATTGCAAGATAGTCTCTGCCGCATGATTTGTAGGCATTCAAAATTCGAGCCTGTATTCTGGGACATTTAATATAGCAGGCAAACCTTTTTCATAAGGAGTTAAGGGTAGTCACGTTCGCTAAAATCAAAAGAAAAATGTGAAATAACCAAGAATTTTATCACCACAATTTTGAATCCAATCATGGATTCAAGTATAACATTAAAATTATGGTTAAAAAGTATGATAGTTTCCTATATCCTTTAAACTTATCACAAAAATAATCCTTCAAGTTACAAGTACTCACTTCTCTATGGTCTTCTTGGGAACTCTGACTGCATTGGAACAGAAAAGGCAACAAATCAGGCCACTCGCCAGCAGGGACAGCATACTTGGCGATGATGCTAACAACATTTGCACTAGCTCGTCTCACCAGTGAACTGCAAAAAAATCATATTATTCTACAAAGTCAATCTTTTTAACTAACAATAAACAACAGTTAAGGCAGATGCCAATTTAAGAATCCAAAAAGTCCTCAAACAGAAGGTCTACACTTATTGTCATTAATTTTTACTGGGATTGTAGAAATCCTTATCAGTTCAAGCACAATTTTTAACATGAAGCACACATCAGGAAACATAAAAAAGACCCAAAATTGATGCCCATGTAACTTGGTTCAGCAAAACTAGCAGCCAAAAACAAGTTCAAAACAACATAAGATTCTCAAAAAAAAAAATAAAAAATAAAAAATAAAAAAGATCCAACACAGCATTCCTAGTCTGTGGACTCCAAGACTGCTTGAGTCAAACCTTGAACCAGCGTAAACAAAGTCTGACTAAGCAAAACAAAACTGACCTGCTCAATAATGTGCAACTAATTCATAAAGGTTCAGACCACTCCAAACAGCAGCATCACCGATGCTGAAATGTTTTGAAGAGAGGAGATCCATGAAACATCACCGCTTAATTTTGTCAGAATTGTTAGATTTACAGTGAACCTTCATGCACTTATTCCTATTAATCCATCCCACCAATATACTTCTGCTGTTGCCACTGATCATGTGGTTAGTGTGAATTCCAAATTCAAGAAATTGTTGGAGGTACATGCCACCAATGGCTTTATTTTGGGTCGGTCAACCCCAAAAAGGTTGCTGTATGGTCAAAGTTCAATATCTTCGAAGAATATCCACATAAGGACTAAAACAGCCCTCCAAAAAATTACAAATAGAAACTTCCTTTTTAAGTTACTAGACAAGGTTTCCCCTATAATTTAAGGATCTAGAAAAATATCCTTAATGTTGATGAAATATGTTTCACTCCAAACAATGGCTTGCTCATCACAATACCAATGTAGGGCACACCGCCACAAACTCCGATACTACTAATCAAATAACTCATCACACTCCTTGCAAATGACACTCTTCATATTCCAATCAAATGAAATCTTACCAAGAAAAAAAATATATATAAATTGTCACTCACGAATGCCTACCAAAAATGAATATATATTATCATGCTCCCAACAGAGGGAGCTCAGTTCTTAAAACACCCATCTTTTTCGTTGCTATGCAACATCAGAGACGTCATTCATGGACTATTGTCAACAACAATCATAGTGCTCATCCTGCTCCTTATCAACAAAAAAACTTACACTCCCATAAAGACATGTCTTGACCACAATAGCAAAATCAAATGTCTCCCATAAACACCTATTGTCGATGGTTGCATGTTCATCATGCTTTTTGTCAATAGACATCTCCCTCATCACAGTAATGAACAACCAACATACCTTTCAGTTTCACCATAGACATTTAAAGAAAAGATGTGTTCAGGAATGTAGCAAGAAATGAATTATAGTCTATTCCGCTGCCACCCACACCATCCAGGCCATCCAAGGAGCCCTATTTGTTTCTATTGTGATTATAGTTAATGCATAGGATCACTAACTTCGGTATAATCAGCATCACCCTTAAAGATACAGATAAACTTGTATTAAGGTTAGCGCACTTGTGGTAGCCCATCCTAGCATAAATTTACGGAAATAATAGATCTTTGCTACTGAGTCAAGGCATTGATACCGAAGTTAACCCAAACCCAAACCACGACTAAAAGACAAATATTATTGTTGAACTTCAAAGAAAGAACAAGATGACTTCTCAACAGAAACAATACAAGAACATAAAAATAGTAAGCAACAATGTCGTATGCAAAATAAGAAAAACAATATAAAAGACAAAAATGGCCCCCTCTAGAGGAGGGTGGCAGATACGGAAGGCGGAAAGAAAGCTGCTATAGGAATGGTCGGTAGCTAACAGCAGATGGCGGCGGTGCTGCAGGAAGGGCCTGGAAGGTTAGTGTGGCTGCTGGACAGCAGCAGGAAACGGAAGGACCAGCTATTGAAAGAATGCGGGACGGCTGGACAGCGGCAGGAAATCGGATGGTTAGACAACAGCGGGAAACAAAAGGACCGGGTGCCGAAAGAAAGCGGGATGGTTGGACAGCAACAGAAACAGAAGGGTTGGCTGCTGGAAGGCTGCTGGAAGGCAGCTGGATAGCTGGTCAGCAGCAAGAAATGGAAGAACCGGCTGCTAGAAGGCCACTAGATGGTTGGACAGCAACAGAACAGAAAGATGGCAGCAAAACTTAACCGGAATAAATGAAAGAAAATTATCCCCGTGGAATCGAGTTACAGTCGAAGCACCTCTCGAACCTTTGGAAAAGATTACCACCTCAGATGAGTTACAGCCAGAGCACCTCTCACCGTCTGGTACAACCCTCGGAAGGGAGAAATACCTCAAAGGCAGTATACTGAAATTAGAGACAATTCAAAAACTAACTTCAAAGCACTCAAAAATTACATATATAGTAGTTACAAATAGTTAGAATATGAATGAATTGGAATTGGAAAGAAGTAGAAATAGGAAAGGGGATAGAAAATGCAAAAAATAGAATAGTAAGGAATTGGAATTGTAAAGAAATAGAAATAGGAAAGGGGTCAGAAAAGGCAATCAATAGAATAGGAAGAAATTGAAATTGGAAAGAGGAAATAGGAAAGGGGATGGAGAAGGCAAGCAATAGAATAAGAAGAGAATCCTCTCTAAGGGAGGGATTAGATTAGGCAGAAAAGAGGAAAAGGGGAAGTAATTCTTGTCCTAAGGTCCTAAGCAGGTTGGTCGGTCCAGCCTCTACTAGACCAGAATCTATCTCGGATGATTCAATCCGCTCGAGGAGCCCAGCATCAGACATCGATATATTTTTTCCCTTCAATGGTGCTCCACTTAACAACCCTTCTCTTCCCAAAAATTTGTTTGTTTAGATTTCTTGAGCTACAACTTAATGTTCTCATATTCCCATGATTTACAAAAATCTCATATGAAAAGTAACAATTTGGTGCAGTCTATGAAAAGCCTTCTCCCATTTCCAACAATCACAATAACCAATTATCATCGCATGAAAAGATCTCATAATGCTTCATCTCAAACACAGACATCTAGTTTTTCTTTTTGTTCCAAATGGTGAACCACTAGACACGTCCAAAGCATTACTCAAGAAGGATCTCAATCTACATCTTGTTACACTAGAAATCAATATGCAATTCAATAAATGATAAGTTAAGAAGAAAAACTTCCTCATTTTCCCAACAAAGTGCCCCTTCCTAAAGCAACCTAAAATCCCTCTCTTGATGATAGGGTTTGAGAGTTTGAAAAATTAAAACAAAGATGTGTTTCCTCCCACCAATGGAGGAACAAATACTTTCAAAAAGAAACCTTAACCCCTTTCTTGAGGATTTTGTCTGATAAATCGAATAAACTAAAAAGGAGACTCTCAATCACCCTCAAGAAGCTAAAGATGACCCATCAAAGAGCAAATTTTAGGGCTGTCACCGCCCAGCCTGATAGCTTAGCATTAACTAAATTAGGAATTGCAGTCAAACGATACTATCATTTCTTTTTACTTTCCACATATTTTCATAACTTCTAATTTATAAGAAAGCCACTATGAAACTATAAAATACATTATACATAAATGAAAACATCCAAAATTAACAACATAGTCTACAAGTAAACATCTCAAATCATTACACAATAGTATTACTTCTCAATAGTAAACAGTACAACAACTATAATCACAACACATAACATAATACCTATCAGCAGTAGTTCTCCTCATATAAATCATCTCTCGCCTATCAGTTATATCAATCTAATGTTTTCCTGAAAGCAACCATTAAATTTCAAGAATAAGTTACACCACTTATTGGCAATTATTATCTTTTTTATGCATTAAACTAATATTTAAACGCTACGCTTGAATTTCTCACGAAAATACAATTTATTGATAAGTCAAATTATAAGCTTTCATTTATTATTTAACCCTTTTTGTTTTAATTTAGATATTTACCATTTTTAACTACTCTAAGAAGTCATATCGGGATTATCGTCATATCTGAAGGTATTATCAAACTTGTACCCATAGTTACTCTCAAAATTTTGCACCCGAAGGAATACCTTTACCATTTTCATTTTATTTTTTGTGCATGGATACATCGCATTTCCTGTCAGTACCATGAACCTTTGTTGCCCAAACTGACACCTCACCTATACCTTTACATTGAGCTTCAGCATATACTTCTTAGTTAATCGCATAATATGTGCCACGACTTCATGCAATTTCAACCCCACAACTCAAACAATCACATTGCAAGCACTAATTCATGCAACAACATCACCCACTCGTAGGTCAACCTCGTTTGTTGCACCTTCACATGAGATCAACTAAGCTTCAGCTAACTTTATCTCACACAGCACTTCCTATAAATTTATTGCTTGCATTCATACAAATTTATTACCTTTTCATACAATGTTCATGCATGCCACCTTCACAATATTTCTTCTTACAAGCATCAAATGGTCAAGCAAATCCTTAAGCATATCAAATCCTTCAATTAAAAGACAAATAATTGAAGTTCTAGCTCAATAATCAAATTTATCATTCACAGTGAAATCTTAAGACACCCCTCAAGGATTAAGGGAAAATGGCAGCTACCCTTTGCTTATAGAGTCTCAGACTCACAATTTCAGACTTTCAAGAACACAAGATGGATGATAAATTTCTTCCTTCATTTCAATTCATGACAATGAAAAAAATAAAGGCTTTGACTTGAAGGGTGATAAGTTTGACGTTGTCAATAACAAGGAGGCTAGGTTAAGCATGCAAATTACTATAAGGATGTCGATATAAACAGGAACTTTAAGGATGACCTTGCTCTTGATGAGCATATTAAGAAACACAACTCCACCACACATAGACCTTGCAATTTAAGTATGGTGATCAGGCCTCTTCTTAAGGTTTAAGCCTTTCCTCCATAACTAATGGATTAATATTGATTAATTAAGATTATTAAAAGCTAAGGATTTGTTTGGAATCAATTTAGTTTGTGGTTTTATTTTTGTTTTTTCCTTTGTTTTTAAAAACATATTTGTTTAATGTGCTTTTAATAGATTTTTTTTTTAATTAAAAAAAAAGATAAACATGTTTTTGAAAACACTCAAAACAACTTTTATATGTTTCAAGTTTTTTAAGAAAAATTATAACTTAATCAAATATGTCAAACATGCTATCTTTCAAATCAAAACATAAACAGAACAAAATAAAAAAAATAAAAAAAAAATAAAAGTGATCCCTAGCAACCCCTTCAAGGCTACAATTTTCAAACAATACAGTCGCCTAGAAAGTTGGCAATCTGAGAGCAATGGTGGGAACACTGAAGTCTATCTCAGCTTTCATTTAAAAGGCAATGAACAATAATAACATTGACTCGAAGGGGGTGTTTGGTTGCAAGTAGGATTTAGGCTTAGTATGATTTAGTAAATCCGAAAATGGTATATCCATTAAATCTACCCTTTCTGTGGATTAAGTAAATCCCGATTTGAGCCAAATCGAAGGCAAAACTTCAGCATTTAAATCTAAAAGTTCGTAAATCCACCACATCTTGCATTTTTGCATTAGACTGGATTTCATCAATCCGGTGATAAATCATATTCAAAGGTGCTACCAAACACCCTTTAAGGTTTAGTTTTCAAAATTTATCTCTGCACAAGGCTTGGTGTTATAACCACTAAGAGGAACAAGCTCTTAGGAAAATCATTTTTACTTGATTGACCCGGGAATTATGAAATTTTGAATTCCATGATGGATATCGTCAAATAACTTTCCAGTGCTACCTTAAACATATAAAATTTCCAACATTTTCGCATGACAAGGTAAGATAAAGCTGATGATGGCTACCTAATGAAAGAACTTTCTCTCGGGAGAGGGGTATAAGAGATTTTATTTAAAATCATTCCAAGATGAACATAACACACCGAGAGATTCTCCCTGAAAATTTCACTGTATTCTCGAAGAGAATCAATGTTAAAATTATAACCATTTGGCTCACAAAAAGTAAGGATAAAGCCAAAGTCTCCAAAACTACAGCAAATTAATTCAAATAAATCAAATCAATTTTGATCGTTCACAATAAAGTAATCAAGGGATGGAAGAACCTGTGCTCAAGTGTGATGCTTTCGATGAGAGCGGCTTTCACAGATTGCTTTACGCTAGGGGGAAGCTTGCCCCAGTGTCCGGTTATCTTCTTGCGTAGGAGGACGGCAGAGAGCTGGCGAACGTTAGGCGTCTTGGCTGTGCGTAGGTGGTGTACCAGAGCCGGGATCACCTGCGGGTCCTTCGCCAGCCGCTTGATCTGCTCCTCCGCTTGCCGCCTAGCGTCATTGTCCGGCATTAGGAACTGGATTAGCAGAAGCTCCAGTGACTGCGCCATCTCCGCCGGTGTGGGCGGCGTCTTTGATCGGTTGGAAGATGAATTAGGGTGCAAGGGAAAATATACTATGAAATTTTTTCCTCATTAATCCAGTCTATTCTAAAGGTAAAATATTTGTGTACATAAGACTTACAGAGCGGGTACGTCAGGAGTTATTCAGGGGTACAGGGGGTTATATCCGTGTTATACCCTTGTAACATCCGTGTAACATCCGTGTAACGTATTTGTACCCATGAAACTACATAAGCGCGGAACTCATTTGTAGGTTGCAGATAGTTTATAAAGAATTTACAGGGGGGTTACAGAGGGGTATAACCCCGATATAACCCCCATGTACCCGATATAACCCCCATACCCCCTGAATAACCCCTAGACGTACGCAGCGCTGCGTAAGTCTTATGTACGCAAATATTTTCCATTATAAAGGGTTAAAACTCTCAAAAAGTGGTGACACCACTTTCTATGTTGTTTAGGTTTTAACCCTCTCTCTTCATAATATAATTTCTATTTCTAATTATCATAAAAAATAAATGAGGGTTAAATCAAATTATGACATAATTTCTCATTATTTATCCTCTAATTTAAGAATGTTATTTAGTCATCATAGTACCTACGCCAGGCCTCTTAGATCTATCATCAAGCCACTTGGAATCAGCTGTAAAATATGATTGGATTATCTTCTAATATGTTCAAAATATGATGGAATTGTAACTTCCCATCACTATATACTTCGAACCATCTTCGAATTATCTTTGAAACATGATCAAATCTAATACGAATTTTAAAATAATATTCAAATGATATTCAAATATTTTTTGAATAATATTCTAACATTGTTCAATGATAATTCTAAAATGATTTGATCATATTCTAATCTATTCTGAGATGATTCAAAAATTTTCAATCATAATTTGATTCTCTTTGATGATAGTTTGATCATAATTCATTTTGTTTCGCTCTCATAATCTCTTTTAAATTAACTTATTTAAATTGTTTATTGTATATATAATTGTATGGTCCATAATTAAAAGTGTTACATTATTTAGGTCAAATGTACAGTTGGAGTATGATGAGAAAATTTTTAAGCAATTTAAAGCTAACAACCTCATTGTTAATGCTAAGATGTCTCACTTTAGTCAGCTCCTCAAATATCTGCAATTGCAGTTCTCCTGAGCTCTATTCATTAGCTATTATAAAAGATGATAGTTAATAATGAAAATAAAGTTACTCCATTCAATATTAGAGGCAAAGATATAATATTTTGTCATTTTTGAATCTATTATGATCATTTAATCGGGTTTAAAGATTACTTAAATGAGGAGAATTTTGTTTGGATAAGCATGAGTGGATATTAGATGACTACTTGGGTGGAGATAAAAGCTTCAAAAATTCAGACAAATAAAGCATTCCTGGAATGCAATGCCTAGAAGCTTGGTGGTTTATATTTTTGTATAGATTGTGCATTCCTTAAAAATGATAAGCATAATTTTATTTTTATAAAGAAGCTTGGCTAGTTACACGTGGTGAAGTATCTTTGGTACTAACACATATAGTTTGATGTGTTTCTTATATCTTATTTGTAGTGTTGATCACAATTAAAAAAAAATAACACGTCGTCATTTACATATTCTTAAGATTTTTTTTTTTTTTTGGAAGTTGCACCTAATGTTATGTTAGGAGACGTTGCCCAGTTGATTCAATGACTCGGGAGCAAATTTGACTTGCAGAAAGCTAAAAGGCATGTAAGAGTCTGGCTGGTACTTGTGCGACTTACAAGATGTATTTATAATCGATCCAAGTGCTCAAGTGCTTAGATTTGAAAGATTATAAAAATGATAAGATTTCTGAATAAACATTTATGTATTCTTAACTTTCTTAGACATGGATGCTTGTAAATCACACATCGTCCAACTAAATCATTAATTATTTATTTCATATGATTAATATGGCATAAAATTTATTATTTGAATTCCTTATTGCAAAGATTCATAAAAGGGAGAAGTTAACAAAAAAAAACGTTAATAACTTATGTTGGTTGAGATATAATGCATTAGATAGTGTAAAATATAATACAGTTGTCAAATAATTAATACTTACAATGATGTATTTTGTGGACAACAAGATTGATAAGAGGCTAACATCTATAAACTTATTTAACAAGCCTATCAAAGCATATTGCATTGATTCAAATTGGGTGTCAAAGCCTGAAGTATTAAACTTATTATGGTTATTATCAAAATATAGTTGAGTCCCTCAACGTAAGGAAGGATGGTCTTGACATGATTGATTATGAAATATTATAACATGAAAATATGATAGATGAAGAAGATATTGATTCTTCTAAAAATAGTTTAGATGCCAACAATTTATTGATAAGAATAGAGACGAAATGAAAGATATGTGTTGATATCTTTTAGTAGATATTTTGCTATGTATTGTAATGCAAAGTGCTTCATTGGTTTTTATTTACTTTTCACTTACTAATGATCATATTTTTTTTTTAACAGTGAATCATATTTATTTTTTAATTTAACAATATTCTTAGGAGATTTAAACAAGACTTGAGTCATATAATGAATGATATTGTAGTGATAATGTACTTCTAATTATAAAACCTCTATGTTGATGTTTGAAATTATTTTTAAACATGATGATTTTAGGCCCAAAAAATTTGGGAGTGCTTTTTTAATGGTTTAAAAAAGATATATTCATATGATGATTTATTTAAAAAGGTTCAAGTTACATTACCAAGTTGGGAGAAAAAAATGATGTTACCTAATGTTAAGATACCATGCCTTTATACTCGATGCATATCTTAGAAACTTGTGCATGGTTGTTTATTCTTTACTATGGGACTTTTAATAAATTTATTTAGGGAGTTAAATGCAATAAAAAATAAAATATATTGGTTTTATTAAAATGAAATTTCTTATTCTTCTAAAGAAGGTGGCTTAGATTTTATGAGACAAAAAGATGTTATTAAAATATTTTCTCTAAAACTTTAGTGGGAGTTTTGATATTAAGCTAACTTATATGTTACATGTTTGATTCTTGATCTTCTTAGCAAAAAATTAGAGTGTACCTCTCTTATAGTAGGAATTGGCTATATTGTCAAATAATATACTCAAAAGTAGTATCCATTTGACCAATTAGTTCCCACATACTAATTAGAACTTATATGTTTAGAGATTCAATAACTTTTTTAATCATATACATATGTAAATAAGATATCTTATCAAAATATTTTTTAAATAAGGTAAGGACTATTATGATTTATATAATATATCAGAACAACATCCTCTATGCCACTATTTATTAGTACAATAAAATTAATTCATATATTGGAAGTAAGCTTTTGAGTATACCTCCATTCTTGTCCACTGAACATCATATTTCTTATTCTCTAGGCACTTCTTCTCATTTTTAAAATAAAAAAAAAATAATTTGTAGAATCAATGCAAAGTTGCTAGGAGAGCAGTTAGAATGATATAGGGTCTAAGGTGTGTGGAAAACTTGGTGAACATTGATAGGCATTATTGCTTCATACATTAAGTTTAGGCTCTTTAAAAGACCATAAAGGCATAATTTAAAACTTAGGAATTAACTAGGTAGTATAGTAAGCCATGGCTCCTTAGGAAGTACAAAGTAATTGCCACAATATAGGTAGGATTATCCAAGGTAAGAGTGATTTGATTCAATCAATGTCTAAACATAAAATATACCAAGAATAAATCAACACTAAATGGAGAAAAGTTCAGACTTAATCCATGATAAAACTATATCATTATATCTTCATCAATCTTTATCTTAGAACAAGCTTTTACCCATAATTAGAGTAACTCTAAAGTCAAATATTTTTTGAAGCAAAAAATCTAGTTGACAAAATTTTTTTCAATCACTCAAATATGTTACTATTGGCATCATTTTTAGAATGTTTTTGATGTCATATTATGTTTGAGCATCATGGGACTCATCTACTCATATTTTATGGCAAACAAGTAAATTTGGTAAGTTTTGGCCCATTGTGATGCTAGTGCTTCATGATAAACAACTGAATGGATAGTCCCACAAAAATCACCATAACTTTATACACACACCTCTGATTTGCTATTATGACCACTTTCTACAAAGGAAATTGAAAGACAAAGAACACAAAGATGTGCCTAGAGCACAATGACATGTGATCGAGCTTTGATAATGGTAAAGGTATTGTGAGACCTTCAAGTTTTCATCTTGAGAGCATCATCTGATGGGATGACTATTAGTGTTACATTATTGACATCATGATATTTATGATGACACCACAATTCCATAAAAAGTCAATTTTGTATTGTCCTAAGATGACCATCTGATTGGACGAGGTTTTCAAAGCCACTTCAGCGGCACTAGAGTGATTGAACTTGCATTGTGACATAAAGGGCATCCTTGGGCTACCTTTAGGGTTGGATTTTTGAAACTAGTCATCCCCCTTAAGCATCCAAGGGAGTAGAATGAGGGATTCTTTTTATTGGGTGTGCAAGGTTTCTTTTCTCATTTTCAAGGTGTGAGATTCTGCTCTTTTCTGTTTAGAGTGTGTGTGAGCTTCCCTCCACATTCCCTCCTTGTTATGGCCTTTTGGTGTGCGAGCTTCCTTCCACACCTTGTCCTCATGATCTTCTGGTTTCGATAGAGTTTTATTTGCCATAGGTGGTGCTTTCCGCAACCAAAGAAATTTGAAGAGCCCTTCTTGCAGCTTTTAAGCTAAGAGACTTCTTCAACTTTGCATATGTGAGGTCTCTTTAAACCTAAGTGTGCTTCTCTCTTCTTAGAGCCTCTAAGGTTTGTTTTACAGAGGCTAAGTTCAGATTATTATTAGATAAAACTATTAGTTTTTGTTTCCAATCCCTTTCTCATCATTTTTTCTGAGTGTATTGAGTGGTTATACCCCTCTATTTTCTCCTGGAATTGTTAAGCTACTTTTTGGGCACTATGACACTGTATCCTTATTTTGGGTCTACGTAGGCACAACCCTTTTTCTAAGACACCTTCATGGTATAATTTCTATGATACCATGATGTT